AAATGATTTGGTTCTCCAGAGCTTCTTGAACTGCTAAAGCCATAGAAGTAGCACGAATTACCATTGCACCTAAACCGTGAAGGGTGACAGACTTATGGCTAAATCAGTGTTTCATTAGCGAAGTGCGCATGTTTGTAAGCTTAAACCATTTACTTTTCTTTTAACATTAGTCGTGTCACTCGCTTTATGATGGCATACGTTTTACTCTTATTTGAGATATAAATGTCGGTAGGTACTGCAGCAGGTCTCTGAGGTGCTCTTTTATGAATGCTACCTATATTGCTTGTGTTAGTCGTTGTTATGATCAAAAGGCGATTTAGAAAGATCTACCTTCTACTGGTGATCTTTTCTCAAGTATTTCTTTCATGATGCGTGCAGAACCAGGATAAAGTTTTTCAGTTTAAAATTCGAATCAACTGCCTTTCGGGTATGCAAGTCACGGAAATTTCACTCTACTTTATAGTTTATAATTCATATTCATAGGGGTAGAACAAAAATGCATTAATAAGTTGTTGTTGAGTGTAAAAGGTTTTATTTTAATTTTAAATTGTAGACAGACAGAAAAAAAAAAAGAGAATATTAAGCATCGACAGGAGTTTCAGTAGCGGCAACAACAGGAGCAGCAGGTCTGAAATCTTGAGAAGAGGGCTCTTCGATTCTAGCATCTTCCTTGGGTTCAAGGATTGTGACGATATCGGGGAGAGAGAGTTTAGGTCCGTTGCGACCAGTAGGGTCGTTATCCAACATAATCTTGACCTTGATACCCAAGACACCTTGACGTAAATCAACGTGACGAACAGCAGTGGTAATATATTCACGAGCGGGGTTACCAGAGTGAATCATGAAGCCATCAGCAAACTTCATGGCTTTGGCACGAGCAGCACGCACCTTACCAGAAACAACAACTTCACAACCCTTAGCACCGGATTCCATAACGAAACGAACAACACCATAACAAGCACGGCGAACGGCTAAACCGTTGAGGAGCTTGAACTTAACAGACTCACATTGAGCAATGGCACAGAGACCACGGTTTTGAACACGTTCAGCATAAAGTTCAACAGCATTCTCGGGGAATTTGAAACGTTTTTGGACAAGAGTAGTCAATTCACGAATACGACGACCCTTCTCACCGAGCACGTTTTGTGTATGGGTGGCACGGATGATGATTCTATTTTATAAATTGTTTAGTTGATTTGTTAAGTCCACAATGTCGAAAATCTTAATTTACTCGGTACGGGCAGGGGTGACACGAACTTCAACACCAGCATAACCATCTTCAGCAAGCTCACGAGTGAAAAATTCGTTTAATTCAGCATAGAAGACACCGTCAGCGACCTAAAAAAATAGGACATGTGTAAATTTCGAAGCTCGACTCTAATCTAGGTACGGGTTGTGTAAAATTAAAAAATTCAACTTACGAACTAATAAAAAATCGTTAATAACTAATCCATAAGCTAGGACATTCGGTATCGTGGTGTACCTTTCTCTTCTTGGAGATTTGAGCAGCAGCCATGATTGTATGTAGGTTACGTTGAAAGGAACGGGATGGATGGATGTCAATTTGACACCACATCTATCCTTCCATAAAAGGAAATTTAAGGTTTTCCGGTCATTGTCCGGGTCGGCTGCTTCAACTTTGCATTGATATGTGTTACTTCAAAATGAAAGGTATTTTTTTTGAATCAATGCAATTCTTTCTGTTTGGCGGAAAGATTAAATCTATGATCCCTTGATTATATTTATCGAAGTAGTATACTTGGGCTTAGTTGAAAGGTATATTATTACAATACGCACTTTGATCCCTTTTCTTTACAACCTTTGCGCATAGCCTGAACTTAAGGTTCATGTCTACATCTACTATGTAATTCTAACCACAAGGGTTAAAAATTCCAGAGGATCCTGGTCTTTGCCATCTACCAAAAATCCTATGTAGACCAAAATCAAATAATTTCATGTATTTTTTACACACCACCACGAGTTGAAACAGTCTTAGGATCGGAAATCCTGTTTGATTATGTGATAACAAAAATATCCAACTTAAGCGTGGGCTAAATATGATTTTTATTTTTCCATTCTTTTGAGTTCATAGTTTTGCGTGTTAGTTTTACATGCTGACCAACTTGTGCTTGAAGTTTGTTCAATCCTCTTCTACCTCATCATCAGATTCCGTCTTGACAACGGGTCTATTGTACTTTGTATGTACAAGACATTCTTCAGGAATGATACCATCTTTGTTCAAATATAAATAATCGTCACCGATATGGGCATCCAAAGAAGTTAAATAACCATCGAAAACATGCTCTTGGTTTTCAGCTTCGAAAATCTTTTTATAAATCCATTCTTCTTTAAATGCTTGAATTTTATCATCAAAATTCTTGAAGTCCACTTCACCACGTTCAATCTGATTGGCTTTGGTGATCATCTTTGTGTTATAAACATTGAAAATAGGTCTCTCCAATAACAATCCAAGTGCTGGTGCTTTAGGAATGTTGATACGAGGATACTCGAATGTGTCTGCAATAAGTGAAATAGGTGTTTCTGTACGTGTGATAAGCATAGCCATAGCTAATATTAAAAGTGAGTATACAAATTCAACAGATACAGTTTTATCACTTACAGATCATTTTACGGATTTGATGCAAAATAAAAGATTGCCCGTGAAGTTTGATACTGACCCATTCAGATCCGTCGATATAGATAGGATCGGATACATTGATGCTCATGATATATCTATTTGCACTTTTATCATTAAATCCTTTTCCATTTGTATAATTGTGATAGTTGTGAGTTCCCTCAAACTCCTTGAGAGCAGTTGTGAATGTTTCCAATTGCTCTTTTGTAGCTCTGTAATCGTGTCTTTCTTGAATAAGTTCCGGTGTACTACGTGTTGTATATTTGGTGATAGGGTTGACGGGATCGTTGGTACAAATCATCAAATCATTATCGGTTGTAGGTGTATCGGTCATGATCTTTTTGATGGGTTTCATAAAAGCACATGTAGGTAAAAGATATTCGTAAACACGAGAATCACACAAATTTTTGGCGTGGAATGATCCAATAACGGGAACATAACCCCAAACACGGATTTGTTCAGGTAAGAATGAATTGATACGTTCAACAACATCATAATCAGTGGGGATTTGCATTTTTAACGATAAGAGATTACCGGCTGCGTGAACACCCTTATCTGTACGAGCTGCTCTCATCCATGAAGACTAGAAATTCGATGATGAATATCTCTTATTTTTTTAAGCATATTAGTGGCAATTACCTTTTTGGGGTCAGACGAATTATCTTTTGAAATGGCGTTGGCTTTCACCATGGCATCAAAAATGACACTTTCAATAGACAAACAGTCCGGATTACTAATAGAAAAAATATATCAGCGCCTGTATAGTATTAGTTAATTCTAAAGAAAGCTTACAGTTGCATGCCTTGGTAACCGGTACCATTGTATCCAACAAACAAAGCAACCTTCTTTTTAGGAATACGAGGTTCTTTTGGTCCTAATGATTCAGGACGAAGTTGAAGTCCTCCGGCAGGCATCTTTTGTTCACCACCCTCCTTCTTTGTCTTCTTTGCCCAACTATCTTTCTTGCCATTACGCTTTTTCTTTGATTGACGTGGTTTAGAATCGTCATCGATATCCATGGATCGTTTAGAGCCAGTCCTTTCGTTGAGTGTAGGTCTTTCTTCTGTCATAACAGTGGCTAATGGCTGGTCTGGTTTAACAGCGGGTTTTTCTTTAGAGAAGCTACTACCCATTTTATAATAATATGTACAAAAAAGAAAGAAAAAATTTTTTGGGGCCTGACATGTCTTTGTCAAAATCCCGCCTTATTTTATTGGTGGATATTATCCAATTATCAATCTTGAATTTTTTGGGATTTGAACATAAAAGTGCTTGTGCGCAGAAGGATTATATGACATGATGGACTTGTATCCAATTATTTAATGAATAAAAACACATTTTTTCTTTGTTTTATTTCTTTCAATCAAAACTGAAGGTTATATACTCTCCAGGATTCCCATTGACAGACATTATTTTATAGGCATTCGGCTTGTATGATATACTTATGGGGAGTGGGAGGGAAATTAATGTACAATTTTACATCAAGTTTTTTTCTTTAGCCTACCGAGCTATCAACACATGTTTACGATGCAGAGAATTCGCTAAATTTAGATATCAAACCTAATCTTTCTGAAGTTTGGTTTTATGTCTACACCAAGCAGCTATCGTTCCGAGCCTGTCTCAAGATACAATCACTGATGGAATCTTTAGGGAAGGTGCCATAGATACGTTCTATTTTGGCAGAAAAGACAATTCACCAAACAAGACTGAATTTTTTTAAGTGAAGATGATACCAATGTTGTGGAATCCAGTAAACAATATATCTAAGCGTATAGAATGTGTAAGTAGCAAAGAAATCCAGTCGATTTCGTTTACCAGAGGTAGAGCTCAACATACCTGTTACTTTTGCACCAATTCATTCATATATGGCAGCGAGCATTATTGATGACAGATGGGCAAAAATTAGAGACAGTAGTTCAATTACAGTAACAGATGGGGATGCTCTATTAAATGTCAAAAATAAGCTCCTTAAATATCAACAGTATACACATCACAACTACCGTTAAAAAAACCTCGTCTATTATGATTTATACCGCAGACCCAAAATACATAAGAACATCTGCAGCGGTGCGCTTAAATTTCCACTGAATAAATGTGTCATTTTCAAGTCGAACTGAAAACGAAATATCATTTTTCAGTGAGTCCCCAACGGTTAAAATAAATTACTAAAGCCATAGGTGGTTCTCGTAATGATCATCATAAATTTTTATTGTCCATTTCAGTTGGAGTAGGGATATGGTTGGAATTGGCAGCCTAGCTGCTCATTTGGTTTGAAAAGTTAAGGAAAAGAAACGAAAAATTAAATTTTTAATCTGGAAGCTATTATTTTAGTGTGAGTTTTAATGCAACCGCTGCAGACACATCTCACTAAAAATGACCACTAAATAAAAGAAGTAGGTATGACAAAGAGTTTAGTATTGAGAATCCTGACGATTTACCTTGTAATGAGATCGTATTTAAACTAGAAGGTGTACATAATGAAAATCCTACATACATATCTGCGCAAGCTACTTTTGAGTAGTCTGAAATAATAGTGCGACTGATAATGTTTTGACTCGCTACAGAGACGATGGTAATCTACTTGAAATTACTGTTAAAATTACTATGATGGAGGTCTATACTCAGTAGAAGATGGTAACTTTCACGATAATGACGAAGTTCTAATTGACAGCTTTTCAGATATATGATACATAATTACGGGTAGCGGAACTGGCGTTGATTCATTTTAAGACATGCTAGATTATGCTAATCCTATCAAAAGACATAGATCTGGCTTTTATAAAGCTGAGTTAGACATAAATGAATTTACTTTATTACTTTCTAACTAGAATATCACGCAACATTGATCTGATTTCTTTGTTAAAAGAACCGATGGGGCGGCACAACCATTTGTGGAAGCAGATGCCTCATGGTACGGCATAGTTCTTGGTATTGGCATACCTTTTTTTTCTGGTAGCATGTTACGGGCTAAATATAAAGGATTTGCGAGGATTGCCTGTCAGAGATTTGGCACCGAAAGTCGATCAAAGACATCCTCCTGTCAAATTTAGTCATGGAGGCATTAACCCAGAGGATTCTGAAAAATTAGGATCTGTGCTAAATATGGATGATAACCCCATTGTGCTTGGAATTGTTTTAATGTAACATAATCATCGTCTCTTGTTTGAATATAATACTTTACACTGTTACAATCTTTTTTTTTTTTTTTTTTTTTTTTTTTTTTGCTTATAACAAATTAGACGATGTTATTTTAAAATGACATCAAAATTACCTAAGAGATATAAGGACATATTGCAAACATTTAACATAACAAATAATTGATGTTATTTATCGCGATTTTGTATTCATAATGTTTACCCCAACAAAAAAAAGATAATTTAAGCCAAAATACGTTTGTATATTTGGTGTCCAATTTAAGCGAAAAAAAAAATTAGCCAAATTTTGTTTTACAATTGAAGGTATTTCTTTTATGTGTCTATAAGTATTTAGATAATACACGTGTTCTTGTAGTCTTGGTTGCTATCAATAATAATAATAATAGAAAAGGCAGATATAATGGTTAAGCGTTAACTCATGCGTACCTTTTCGTGAACGGTCTAATCTTTCTGTTAAGCTTGTTAGCGTTTTTTTTAAATGGTTCGAAACACCTGTGCTACCATAAACGAGTACTGTAGGATTAGGCCCCGAAAAAAATTAATTGTTATGCGTCGTTTTGATTATTTGGGGGAGGGGGGGGGGTAGTATGGGAATTAAGAAACAATAATAATTTGCATTGATGAGTGTAGCAACTTAGATATAAACTCCTTGTTATTGTCGCAAAAAGTCATACATGTATGTTTGTAAACAACAAATAGTACCTTTAGCAACCGATTCAATCTTGTGATGTAAATTAATAACGATAGTTCTTTTCCATCTGCTTCGAAAAAAACAGATCGCTATCAGTGTGTATGCATGTCGGTTTCAGCTAATTGTGATGATGACCTTTTATTAGTGACTGAGACCAGTGCTCAATTGTTGCATCTCGATACCGTTATCATTGGCTGTCTCGATCGGCGTTGTTAAAAAAAAAGAGAACTTTATAAACAGGTTTTTTTGAGTAGATATGTGTTCCAGTGCATTGTACATTACATATTTTTTTTAGTGAGACATGAATAGTTTTTATATTTTTAAATAGAAGAGAAGGGTATACATAAAAAAAAAAAAGCTAAATAACAGATATTGTCGTGATTAATGCAAAAGTTTGTATGAGAAAATGATTAAACACGTTTTAGGAACGAGGCCTGTGACCAGCAAAGCTAATATGGAGGTGGAACCGATTATTCACCCGAATAGCTAACTTCAGAAGGATCATTGGCAGTAGTTGCGTGACGACGATGACAAGCATTTTCCGGTTGGATTATGGGAGGTTCAGAAGAAGAGGAAGTTGTCGGTATATCAGGATGTGTCAAATGTTTTGAATTTGGTCGATATGCTGATGCGGACCGAGGGGATTTGTTAGGTGTGAATCCCAATAGAGCTCTAGGAATAGGTAAAAGCCCTGTCATGCGTCTTGCTGCCCAAAATGTAAGGTTTATAGGCAAAAACATTAAAGTGACAAGTATTTTTTGCCCAGACTTCTTTTGGTCCTGCTCAATGCTGTAACATATGAATTGGTCAAAGTCTTGCACCTTTTGGTCGATTTCCGTGAACCGTTCTTCAGACCACGATCCAAGTATCTTTTCTTGCTTTTCAAGTCGTCTTATAGCTTTTGTTATATTCTGAAGTGTCGGATTTATGCCATTTGCCACCTAAATGCAAGATATATATAATTAGCATTGTCACCTCGGCACTTATTTTTTTATAGAAATATACCTGTCCTAGATCTCTTTTGGTAGCAAATGCTTTTCTCAAGCCTTCAAGCTCTTCTTCCATCATGTCTAGTTTTTTTCTTAATAGGTCTGTTTCACTTTCGTTCACCATTATTTCACTCTGTAAGAAGACTGTTCTTTCACGCAAAAGAGCCATGACATGAATCAAGGGTTTAAGGGTGGCGGCCAAAACAAAGACGGTGACATTAAAAGTACTCATATACTTGTCATAATTACTTAGAAAGTATCGGCTATATTGAAGTGTATATCCTGCAATACCAGGAGATATTACAACCCAAACTAAACCTATCAGCTCATGTCTCCTTAATTCTTCTTCAACCGATTCTTTACGTTTGATGTCTCTCTTCTTGTTAGGATCCAAGCCCGCTTGGTTGTTATTATTTGTAGCATACTGGTGGATCATGCGGCGGGATCGTGCACTCTCATAATAAGCCCAGGGAACTAAATAATAATAATAATAGGTTATATTAAAACAATGATTTATTATTGTTACATATGATTTATTACCAGTAATCCATTTGTACACATAGTACAGAATCAAGAGTATCATAATAAAGTCACTCCAGACTTCTGCGCTACCTGCGATAAAGGCACCTAAAGTGGGGATGATAGCTAATATAATTGGCCAAGATATGGCTGTTGAAAATTCATTTTTGGGTGCCCCTCTGTCTGTTGGAGTAATCTTTGGTTTACGTTGCTTTGATGGATTTTGAGCTGCAGACTGTTGTGTGGAGCGATTGAAGGAGCGTGGTTTATAGGCGCCCAAAAACCCTTCATCCTGCTCTCTATCCATATTTCCCATCATAATTTTGTAAATAGAGAAAAGAAAAGTATTTAAAAAAAAAAGAAAAAAGAAAAAGTTGATAAACAGAAAAAAAAAAGAACTAAAACGCGACACTCAAGTTTTCATGCGGGTAACGCAAACCGATTTCATTGTGTTTGGCTGTGTGTGTGTTTTGATTGAATTGCCGATTTTGCAGCACAAAAACGCAAGCCACACAATTTTTCTTTTTTAGGGTAAATTTTATTTCAATTATCGAATTTTTTTATCCCCACACACACAGAACAAAAATACCATGCCTGCACCACTTATATCACCAGCAGAAAAGAAGTACGTTGAACTCGGTATTGAGCAAGATTGTCGTGCTGATGGCAGAGCTCGTCTTGAATACCGTCATGTCGTAATGGAGACAGGTCTCTTATCTCAAGCAAGTGGTAGTGCTCGTTGTCGTTTAGGCGATAGTGACGTCCTTGTTGGTGTGAAAGTTGAAATTGGTGAAGTAGAACAAAGCAAACCTAATCAAGGTCGTGTTGTTTGCAACGTCGAATGGTAAACATTCAGCTTTTATCCGTTACCTGACAGACTTTAAAATTCTACCGACTTTATACTAACTAACTCTGTATCTAGTTCACCAAGCGCATCACAACAATTTGAAGGACGTGGAGCTGACGAAATCAACAACACATTGACTTTAGCTATTGATAGACTTTTAAACGGACCTCAAAGTGGTTTAGATCTTGAAAATTTATGCATCATTCCTAATCAGCAATGTTGGGTCATTTATATCGATGCCATGGTAATGGATGCAGCAGGAAATCTTTTAGATTGTATTGTTATGACCACACGTGCTGCACTTTACAACACACGTATTCCAAAGACGGAAATCCAAGATTTAGGTGATGGCGATTTCGAGTTTGAAGTGGTGGACGATGTTGAGGATGCTGAACCCATCAAGGGCTGGGAGAATTTACCTATTTCTGTCACATTATACAAGATTGCTGAACGTTACATTATCGATCCTACTGTTCTTGAGGAATTATGTTCGAGTGTTACTTTGACTGTTGGTGTTAACAAGGACGGCCTTGTTTGCGGTATTCAAAAGGGCGCTACTGGAAGCATTGATCCAAGTTTATTGACAGAGATGATTCAGGTATAACAAACTATTGCCTTATATATATTTGCATACCCAACAATGCTGACCTATATTTTAGACTGCTACAACCTTGGCAAAACCCCTGATAGAACAATTAGATAATAAGCTTTTGGAAGAGGATAAATCTGTACAGGAAAAGAGAAGACAAGGTCAGCATGTCGAGAAACTTGGTTTTTTTGCTGCTGTCATCTAAAAGAGAAGGGTTTCATTTTGTTTATACTCAATTTTTTTTTTATTTTTTTTTTTAAAAATCGTAACATCACATATAATTGTATACTTGATAAAAAATAAAAAAATAAATTATGTTACAACTAGATGTCAAGTAACTATTTGTTTCCAACTGGAGATCCGGCAATCCAAGTGCGTCCAAGACCAAGACTAACCCAGCCAGTTTTTTTGAATAAGTTTGCACTAGGAGTATTAAAGTATTCTACAGTGGCAGAAAAGTAAAGATCTGCCGCCTTTTCAGGAATTGCTTGCTTATAGAAAGCAACATGTTGCTTACATACATCATGTAAAATCACTTCAGCATAGCCTTTGCGACGGTATTCAGGTAAAACATAAAGAGCTCCTACAGCAACTGATAAAAGACTTTTTGAGTTTTCTTTTGATAATTATCATTTGTTTCGAATTGACTTACAGTCACGATGGGTCATAGTCCAGGCAGCCAACTCGTCATTATCAACTCTTCTTATAGCACTTGAAAGGCGGAAACAATCCTCAATATATTTGATGTCATAGGTTACCTTATTTGAAGAGTGTACCTAGTAGATTTAAAGCCGTAAGCAATCAATTTAATTGCATTATGAGTTTGTTAGACGATCTTTTTTTTTTTTTTTTTTTTACCTTTTGGATATCCTGATGTTCTAATTTAGTCAACTTTAAATCATGAGGTAAGGTCATCTCCCCATCCAGATCTAAAGACGATGTTGGTTTAACAAATTTGAAACAAGGAGCCTCAAACTGGGCATCAATTAGTTTATGAAACACTGAAGACCATAACAAGTTGACACCGTGTAGGAAGACTGGTTTTTTTTTAAAAGAATCGTCACATTAGTATTTGACATATTTACCTAAATGTCAAAATCAGGCTTTTATTTACCTTCCCCTTCATGCATTTCCATAAATGCTCTCATGGCAGACTCGAGAATTTCCTTACTTTGATTGTAGAGAATTTCAAGCTGGGGTTCCACAAAGTAATTAGGTAAGATTTTATCTTTGTAAACTGCGCAGTTAGCCAACTCTCTAGCTTCTTCTGTAAAAGTGCCTAAATCCAGGACAACCTCGGAGGTGACAAAAACCCGAGTTCGATGTTTGCTGTCAAAAATCCAGACAACGGGATCTTTACATTGAAAGGGATCGGGATGAGATGTCCAAATGCAGCATTTGCCTTTACGATCAGTTTCGTAAAAACCTGTGCCCAAAAGCCAACCTAGCAACATGGTAGTAGTGGGTACATGCTGAGCCAAGTAATCCTTTAATTGATTATAGTCTTTTTGAAGGGAGAACTTGTGCAATACGGACATCTTTTGAGTGAAAAAGAGAGAGGGCCCCCAAAGAATGGAGTTTCAAACGCCAGTAAATTTTTTTTTATTTTCAGTAACGATGGCTAAAATAATTAGTAATCTGACGGATCGCATTTGATCTCTTTACTTGTCGTAATAGGACATAAGTGCCAGTGCATTTTAAGACCACATGTATTGACAAGATTCTGCAGTTTGGGGTCGAAACGATTTCGATAAATCTCAATGCATCAACGTAAAATGTAAATATATGCAATGATCTAACAAAAATGTTACAAGGTCTTCAAAGAAAACCCTTACGCTAATGTGTGTTTATATAGGGGATTAAAATATGCAAGTATGATGATATAATATACTGTTTAAATAAAAATCGGCATATGACTATAGATGTGCGTGATTGTTTCTCAATGTTGTGAAGGTTTTTCCTTTGTATGTAAGTCTCATAACAAGGGAAATGAAATACGAATCAATCCACTGTATACGAATCAACTCACTGTATACGAATCAATTCACTGTATACGAATCGATTCACTGTATCCCAATCAATTTATTGTAATAATGAAACCAATGCTTTTATTTTAAAAACGTGGTAGATACAATAAATTAGCATGGGAATCTCCGGAGAGCTATGGCAACTGTGAATACCCCAATAAGATGAATATGAAATTCGTTGCATTACTTTTACAAAAAAACTTATCTTGATCTCGAGATGCATAAATCCGTATAATGATGTAGTTGGGCTCCTGAAAGTTCATTAGTATGCCTTTATCGATAAGATTAGTTCAGTATTTCAGAGGGATACTTTATGATAAACAGTTTTAGTCTTGGAACCTTCGAAACAAGCTTCCAAACTGGTTTTTTAATGCACACGTTCACAACGGGTAAACAAGAAAGTGGGGTATTTACGGATATTTGTTTCACATGTTTAGCCAAAAGTAGGTTGTACGATGGGGGGAGGGAGGGAGAGAAAAGGTAGATCGTCAGATAGTAGTCAAAGATATTATGCGGGTACGATAGCCGGACGAATTTGGCAAAAGGAAATGAATAATGGCGGGTCCAATGCTTATCTTTTTTTAATTTGAGCACCCAATCAGGGCGTAATTATTCTTTAAATTCAATATAAACAACTCTCTCGTCAGGATAATTACACAACGTCATTTTATTTTATTTAATCACTCCTTGCCTCTCGATTTAGTCAGGTACCAATGATCCCTTATTACAACAAAACCTTTTCTTTTCTAATCACCATAGTATCCTTTTTTTTTTCTTTTAGCCCAGTTGTCCCTACATGAATCTGAGTAAACTTCTCAGTCTGCATTATGTTGTAGACCTGTAAAAGTGATTTAGGACAGCATGGCAATAATGTAATGTACAATTTTATATATAAACATGAGCAATGTGGGTAATTATCCTTTTTAGTGAATTGGTTTACGCCCTGGTTCTATTCACTTTTTTGCCGTGGCTGTGTTTGCAGCATGTAGACGAAACTACATATTTTCGGTCCCTTAGTTCAACCGAACTTCATTATGCAGTGTGTCGATCAACGCGTCTGTCTTTTGGAGTATTATTTCTCATGCAGCTTATATCGATTTAATTATCATAATACGGTTTAATGATGACACTACGTCCAAGGCTTGGAAAGACTTTATTTACGAGATCTCAGTGTTTTTTGTGCTGCTTTTTTTCTTCTTCTTTATTTTGTTCTTCAGCGAAATGGTGCATGTACATGTCCAAGGTTTAAATTGGAATTTTAATTGTGCTTCCGTATTGTCAAACATGAAAATGTCTCAGTTATAAGAAACGCTTATTTTAAAGTTTTATCTAGTATATTAATATACTAAACAGAAAAAAGAATGAAAGGGCACATTATAGAAGGACTATTAACGAGACAAAAAAGAGGGTATTAGAAGAAAGAGAAAAAAAAAATACAGGTATATGTGGTAAAAGCGTAAATCTATTATTAGTTTTCCTTGCGACTTGTTACAATGTAAAGATGATTTGCAAATTTTTTAATATAAACATTTCATTCTGACGATGGCACACTACACTCACATATACACACCTTTTTTTTTCTTTTTTCCTTTTTCTTCTTTAGTGGTCATGATTTTTGGCTTAATAGCAAATGAGCACTTGAGCACGGGCATCATGCTTAATATATTATAAAAAGTAATTAAATGGGTGTGTGATATAAATTAGACAAACAAACAAGACAGAAAAAAATACAACAATGTTTGTGGCACCTTTTTGTCCCCTTATTTTGTGCGATAAAAATAAATTCTTGCATATTTAGGAGTTGCATTGGATTCTGTCATTTCAATTTTAGTATGCATTATACAGTCAGGATATAGTATTCTAGTCCAGCATGAGACCGTTTTAAAAAAAGAATATGAGAACCCTTTATTAGAAACCGGTGCCGAATCAGACAATGTGATTTTCAGACCTATATAATTAATATAGGGCATAAACCGTAATTGGAAGAGAGAGAGAGAGAGCCCCCTCCCCCTAAACATTAAAGCAGTAATCAGAAAATTCATTACCGGTATGAATTGAAGGCTTCAATATTTTGGAATAATTAGACCACTGGTGGTTAATGAATTATTTCTTTGTATGAATTATAAAAAAATTTATGCTTCAGTGAAATATATCTCTTTGTGTGTCACTTTGAAGACTCAACGCACCGACTTACAGTGAGTATTGTCAACTTGCTCTTAAACTGAACAGTAATTTCTGTCTGGAAAAAGACTACACTGTCTAATGTTATTCGTCTCAATAAATGATTTCCTTTGTCCTTGGTTTCATACTTTCTATGAAAGGGTCTAATATTCTTTTTTGAAAGCCTTCTTAATTTAGAAAAACTTCTGAAATCAAGATAGCCTAACTCCGCGAGTTTAACGTTCGCGGAGTTAATTTACAAGGTTTGAGACACATAAAATGGGCTTGGGAGAGGGGTGGTTGATGGGGGGAGGAGACGCCTTTTTTTTTTCAAGCGGGAGGCTGTACATAATTACCCTTGGGTTATTATATAATTGACAGAGATAGTGCTGGAAATCACATTACCTTGGATACATGAAATTAATTGAATGACCGAATTACTGTCAATAGACAAGGATAACTTTTTTTTTATGATTTACAACTAGCCTGTCAGATTTAAATGTGAACACTACATGCGGTATATGGTCTTACGACTTTAAGCATGGCTTGTCACAACAGTCCAAATGATAAAGTCTATTTTAAACATTTGTTTTGTATGAAATGAAATAGTCATTGATTATATTTTTAATTAGTTTAATAATCATATCATAATTGTTACAAAAAGGCAAAAAAGGAAAACACAAGGTGGTTTTTTTAGTTTAAAAAAGGAGGTGTGTGTGTTGTGTGTGTGTGGGGGGGGGGGATAGATACAAGAATATGAAGTATGAAAAAAAAAAGTGTAATGTAAAAAGGGGGAGAGAAAAAAAAAGAGAGGGAATCTTTACTGCGATAATTTAACGGACTTAATAACGTTAGTCTTTACACCACTCATTTCACCACCATAACCAGAAGTTTGAGGCTTCACAACAGCTCTTGTAGAAGACAACTTCTTCATTTGCTTAGCATACTTGTTTCTATGCTTAACACGAGCATTTCTATTCTCCTTCTTACGATGAGGAGTCAAACCCTTATTCTTCAACATCTTGTAAGATGCTAAACGCTTACGACCTTCCTCTACTTGAATATCACGACTCTCAATAGCAGGTCTTTCAGCTTCGTAATTCTCCAATTTAGCACGTTTGGTAGCTTCTTTACCAGCTGCAATTTCGTTGTAATATTCCTCATCAGAATCTGCTTTACCATGACGAACTTCATCGGCAGCTGCAGTATCCTCTTCATCCCAATCGGCATTATCCAAATCAGCAGATGTATCTTGAGGCTGTGCAACACCCTTACGCTCCTGTTTAACACGATCTCTGTATGGTAAATCAACATCACCCTGATATCTATTAGAGTTTTTGGCTTGTTTCTAAATAATCATTTTTGGTTGGTTAGTACTTTCAATCTGCTAACAAACAAATTCAAACTTACAGCATCAATTTTGGCAACATAATCTCTGATGGATTTCTTCTTGGTGATTTTATCTTCCATATCAATCTCATCCAATCCTTCCAATTCTCCAAAGTCATCATTAATAACTCTCTTACGCTTCTTGGCTGCCTTTTTAAGACTCTTGAATTCTTGCTCAATATCTTCAATTTCGTTCAAAATATCTTGCTCATCTTCAGATTCTTGTAAATCATCAGAAATATCAGAGTCCTGCACAGCATTAAACTTGACAGCCTTTTTGGGGCTAGATTTCTTGGCCTTTTTATTAGCCTTCTCAGCAACTACAACAGGTTCCTCTTCCTCTTCTGATTCTTCATCTAATTCAGTGACAAAGTCTTGAATATCATCTTGAAGTTTCTCTTCTAAGGCCTCTAATTTTTCGAGCGTCTGACGGAGTTTGAATAAAGCTTGAATGACAGGATGATCACGAATATCGTTGGCATCGGATGCCTTTAATGCAAAATAGAATGAAATATTGGTCATGTAGTTCATGACTGTTTGGTATTTGAATAAAATGAATTGAGCTGTTTCGTCTTGTTGCATTCCTTTAGCTTGAATTCTATAATTAATAGAGTGTCAGTTATCTGATAGATGTAAGGGGAAAGCCTTCAACAACTTACTTTTCAACAACGGTCTTTAAGAGTTCTACTGATTCGACATTATCTTTGAATTCATCGAGTAAATCAATCAATTCGGGAGATTCGTTTTGAAGAATCTTTAATTTTTCAGCGACAGGAAGGTTTTTGCGACGTTTTTCAATCTTGATCGTATCAAAAGAAATATCCTCTAAATCTCTGCTGACTTCTTCCACGAGTTTTTTATCGTTGGCTGCATCCTCATCGTTACCGAGACCCCATCCAGCTAAAGCATCGTCTACGAAATCTGCTTCATCCATGTTGGCGAGTTGTTCCTTTTGAATTCTTAAAGCCTCTTCTTCTTCTTCACGCATTTCCTCAAGGTCATCTCCTTCATCATTATCGTAATATGCCTTTTTGGATGTACCCCAAGTTTTATCATCGGCTTCTTCCTCTACTTGCTTTCCAGCAATATCATCGTCGGAATATTCGTCTTCGGAATCAAGGCCTTCTAAACCATAGATCTCGCGATCGCTTTCCTCTATTAATAATAAACTGTCAATACATATCTTAACACTGAGGTTGTAATGGTAAAGTACCTTGTTCACTTTCTTGGTTCTCGTTTAAAAGGATCTTTCCTCTATCGTCATGAACTATTTTTCTTTTGTATGAGTATTCTAGATCTATCTGTCCTCGAAAAAAAAAAAACTTACAGTCGTCTTCTGAATCATGCTCAACATCGTCCCAGGTTCTAATAGCGTCAATTTTATCGCCTTTGGTGGTATCGAGTGCATTATCAGCACCATTACGAAAAACAGCTGACTTTTTCTTTCCCATTTTTTTTTATGTAAAGGTTGTGGGTTATAAAGGTAATCTGTATAAAAAAAAAAAATAGGCTCTTGGGTATTTATTTTTGTGGCTTAAAAAGGGCAGTCCGGGGGAAAAGAGGAAAGCGAGAGAGCAGGAATTCCAGTCTTAGAGTGTAAATTACATATTCATTCCCCCCACACACTTATTCTTTTCCGCCTGATTTTTAATAGAATGGAACAGCTTGACCGTGACGAAATTTTAAAGCAAAAATATCTAGCTCGTGGACCTGGCGATGCTGCAACCAAAGCTTATATAGCGTCTAAATATTTATCCAGTACAAATGACGATGGTAAAAAGAAGCGAAAGAAAAAGACATCGAGTACGCGCAGTAGCAAAAAGATTGGAAACATTGGCATCATTGATGACGAAGATATGGGCTGGAAGTCAGTTGCAGAAGAAAAATCCGAATTACAGAAACTGAAACAAGAACAACAGACGTTGGAACAAGAAGCTATTGCGAATGCAGGAGGTGTATTTCTAGGAACTTCAAATAACTGGGAAACGGTCAGAGAAGGAGAAGAAGAGTCCGATGAAGAACCTGTGGTTGTCAATAGTAGACAGGAGGAAGATAATGTTCCTCGCATGTCCAACGGACAGAGAGCTGGATTGCTGACAAAATCAGAAATTAAGGTAGAGGCACAAAAGGCACGAGAAGTGGAGAAAAGAGCTATGGAGCGACTTAAAAAGGAAAGTAAAGGAGAAAATGCAGAAACAGTATACCGTGATAATTCAGGTCGTAAAGTGGATCCAAAGGTTAAAAGAGCTGAGGAGGCCAGACTAAGAAAGGAAGAAATAGAGAAAGAAGCAAGACGAATGGAATGGGGAAAGGGGTTGGTTCAAAGAAAGGAAGTTGAGGAAGAAAGAAGACGACTTAATGAGGAAAAAGATAAACCGATGGCGAGGTATACATTGTTGCTTAGCAACGAAGAAAAAAAAAAAAAAAAATAGGAGACTAAAAGGTGTCAATCTAGATATGCCGATGATCAAGATCTTAATGATGAGATGAAGGAACGAGAGAGATGGAATGATCCCGCTGCTGGGTTTCTGACTGTAAGGAAAAAAAATAATAGAAATCTAGAATATGTTGTTTAATTATATTATAGAAAAAGACTGGCAAGAAGAGCAAGGGTAAAAGACTAGTGAGACCAAGCTATAAGGGAGCATGGAAACCCAATCGATTTATGATTGCACCAGGGTATCGGTGGGATGGAGTGGATAGATCCACAGGATTTGAAGATATATTCCTATTACAACAGAACCAAAGCAAATCCCGAGCAGCGGAAGCTCATGCTTGGGCGACAGAGGATATGTAAATTATCCCTTTTTTATTCCAATATATACAAATTTAAATCCCCCCAATGAGTCTCCTCTTTAGCTTAGATTCTCCTATTTTATAATAAATGAAAGTTCCCAGGGGGGACATGCTAGTTTCTTGTTAAGTTCGGACCTAGATAATACTGTTTTTACATAACATGTACATTTACCTACATAATTTTTATATTATTATGCAAGTGTATATTTATAAATATACAATTGTCAATAGGATGAAAATGCACAAAAGATCTGCATCACATCAAGACAACAAACACACACACACACTTAATAGGGAAGATCATGATTTATCCCTTTCTTTTTTTATTTATAATTATTAGTTTTCCCTTTTTTTTTCTTGCTCTTTTCTTCTTATTTGACAAGTATATAAAGGACGTCTAATTTGTGTCAATTCCCTAAAAAAAATCAACTTTTTTCTACTTTCCTTATATCAGCCACTTTTTTACTACAATGCATTCCTCTACTTGCACTTTACCTCCTCTTTCAGACATTTTCTTGAATACTAGCACCACTGCTTCTCGTTCTTCATCGTCAGTGCTTAATATTCAAAATCTATTATCATCTCCTTCTCCTGTTCAACCACAACATCACCATCACCATCATCATTATAACACTTCAGCAGCAGCAGCAGCAGCAGCTCATGAACGTAATTTGAAGGCAAAGAGAAAGAGAGCTTCACCCAATCAATTAGTAGTATTAAACCGTATATTTGCTCAAACCTACTTCCCTTCAACAGAAATCCGTATTGAACTTGGAAAGCAACTGGGTATGAGTCCACGTACAGTGCAGATTTGGTTTCAAAATAAGCGTCAAGCACTTCGTTCTCGTGGACGTCATACACCGGATTCACCCACTTCTGCTTCCTTCTATCTTCCTCCCATTTCTCCACCCAGATCTCCTCCCACTGACCTCCGTTTCCATCACTTCCAAGACCAAAACAACTTTTCATTACCTCCATTAAGACTAGTATCTCCACAACATCATTGCAGTCCTCCAACATTATCATATCCTAGTCCAAATTCAATTGATCATCTTTCTTATAGAGATTATTAAATTACAACTAGTAAAAAAAAAAAAAACAAAAAAAAAAACAACAGAAAACCCAAACAACAACAAAAACATTAACACAAACCCCAGACACAAGAAGCACTCTTTCTATTATATATATATACATATATTACTACTACTCATGCCTTCCCCCTCTTTTTTATCATTACTTTTTGTATTTTCGTTTTTATTATGTTTATTTTTTTCATGCTTCTTCTTTTTTTATATCATATGCTACATATATTTGTATATGCCTATTTAATATATATCCAACAACTTATTTATTCGTTTCTGTGCAACTCTTCTTTTTTTAATTGTTTCTCGTTTGATCTCCCCCCTTTTAATAATAATAAAAAAAACATTATATCATAATCCTCTTCTCCCTAAAAAAAAGTCGTTTTTTACGTTATTCCGCGCAGAATTTTTTTTTCTTGACAATTTGTTTAATATTATAAAAGACGACAAGTAGCTCCTATACAACTTCTCTTTTATATAAAACTTGCCCCTGCATGATTGTTTATTCACAATTTACATTAATAATTTATTGTTTGCTTGCTCTTAATACGCCTTTTTTGCAACTATAATTTTAAATAACTTAGGGTTTTTTTCTGTGTTTGTGTATTAAGATAATAGCATGAAAAACCCATATCTTCGGGTCTGATGCATATTTTAAAAAGATAAAACCCTCACACATTGTTATTCCCCAAAGTTGGTTTATTCTTATTGTGGCTACAATTACCCCTCCCCTTTTTTTGCATTCATATATAACATACTTTTTTTTGTCTCTTTACAGTGATCGTTAAAGGAGGAGGAGGGGTTGAATCCAAGAACGAGGACCGCGATGGGGGGAAACACTTTTTTTCAGAGCAGAAAAAAAAAAAGAGAGACGGTAACGGTGCCGAATAATATATACAAATTTGGTAAATAAATAGAACACTTCTTTAAACAATAGACTTTTTTAAAGAAGTATGAATTAATATACTTGTAAGTATATTAATTCATACAAATTGATTACAGGAAGAACAACTCGGACACAAAAAAGAACATACATCTCCCCTAGTTTGTTTATCCCCTAGAAATTGACATTGTACTACTCGATCAACTTTAACACGGACAATGTCAGTAACCTTGATACATAAAGACAAACCTTTTATTATTATTATGGCTCTCCCGTATTACTGTCCCTTTTACCGTACTCTTGTCTTCTCTCTTTCCCCTCTACATCTAAACATATTAGGACATTGGAGCGCGCATATACTTACCAAACAACCATTAGACGTTTTCTTTTTCTTCATGTGAATTGTCTTCTTAATGTATCGCACACAAACCATCTCCTTTTCACTATTTTTTTTTAATTAAGATCTTTTATATAAACATATCTTTTATACCCATCTCCCTCTCTTCTTATTCATATAAATTGTGCATGAAGAGGTTAGTTGTGTGTGTAAAGAAGACATTTCTATAAATACAGATGAAAGGAGAGGAGAGGAGGATGAGGAGAGGGGAGGGGAGGGGAGGGGGGAGAGAATAACAATTCCGTATATCCATGACTCTACATAACTCGAAATCTTGGTAATGTACCCGTTTTTGTTTCTATGTTTGTAGCTATGTGACCTTGTCATACATAATCACACATTTTTTATTTTAAAAAAAGGTAGTTGCATTGAGCAGAAAGGAGATAGAAATAAGGAGAAATACAAGTCTTATAGACGATGTGCAAAGTATGTATAATTAGTTATTTCCTTGTCAAGTAAATTGTAAAATACATCTTAAACTTGATATGGTTTTTAGTAGCAATCTTATGAAAAAAGAAGGGGTTGTTTATGGTATTAAAAACTTGTTTTTTTTCACTCTAACTCTCACTCTCTCTCACTTTTACAAGATAAAGTACTCCTTAAATATAAGATTCCTTGTTGACAGAACAAGAAAGAAGGAAAACAAGTGTCAATAAATACGGAGTCGTATCACTTGGCAGTCTGATTTAAGAATATTTTGCCTCTTTCATACATGTAAATAATCCGGTTTTTGTTTGGTTTTGGGGTGCTACAGGGAGTGATTTAAAAGGATGTTCCTGGATTGTCATTGACAGATGTAAAAAAGAAAAAATAATCTCCTATATATTATTATTGGTCGGCTAAATATATCGCTGTATAGCCACTCCATCATGTGCATAGAGCAATATCACGAGATACAGTATCTATAGAGACAGATAAAAGTTTAAAATATCAAGGGCATGATTATTTCTTATACCGCGATTTCATTTTACCCGCTCCCCTCCCCCTCCCCCGCGCTCCGCCCCCTTGGTTCTTCATCGTAATCTTATACTCTCTCTCTCTCACACACACATAGTTTAATCATGTAAACAGAAACTCGTATTCTCATTGTTTACGACATATAAACAGTTAGAACATCCCCAATGTACGTGCGCTCTTTTTCTTTATCGTTTCTATTAACTTCTTTTTTCCCGTAGACCTGCATCCCCTAAAACAAAAATAGAAAAGGCCTCTTCTGGTGCCTTTTATGCTCAACCTAATACTGTTATCAACATTCTAAATATTTACGCCTTGGAGGGTCATCCGTACACTATGCTAAGCTTACCACCACACTATTTGTTTTTACAAGCCTGCTGTATGTGCACACCGTGACAAATGCAGATTAGGTCCGGAAAACGTTTGTGTTACCACCGTATTGACTTGGAAACATTTTTTTCCAATTCATATTTCTTTTCTTTCACTGTATATCTTTTTTACAATATAAAACCGACATGGCCGACGTATTGTCTTCGGGAGTTGCACAAGCAGTGCAAGTATTCACAAAGGGAACCAGTGCCTGGTTTGAAGACGAAGATGAGGCTTGGATTTCCGCATCTGTTACTTCAAAAGAGGAATCAGGAACAGGCGTAAAAATTTTATTTGAAGATGATGGCGGAAGAGTAAGTGAATGCTTTCCTTGTGTATGGGCTTTCTTTTGAATATTGAATATCTTCTCCTTTACTAGCAACATGTGTTTGAAAGTACGTTTGCTTTGCTTGAAAAACAAAAGGGTGCCAATTTGCCGCCCTTGAGAAATCCACCAAGGTTAGAAAATACCGAGGATTTGACTAACCTGAGTTACTTGAGTGAACCTTCAGGTAAGATTATCTATATGTGTTGTATGCACGTAAACTGAACACGATTTTCTTATCTGTAGTTTTAAATACAATCCGTACCCGTTATTTTCAACGGAATATCTATACTTACTCCGGTATCGTCTTGATCGCTGCCAATCCCTTTGCAAGCGTGCCATTGTATGAGCCTGACATCATTCAACAATATTCCGGTAAGAGACGTGGAGAGTTGGAACCTCATTTATTTGCTATTGCTGAGGATGCCTACAGATGTATGGTAAGAGAGAAATCAAATCAAACGGTGGTTGTTTCCGGTGAGAGGTAAAAAAAAAGGGAGAGAGAGAATTGTTGATGATAATGTTGTCATGTGTTTACAAACACTTTTTTTCTTTCTTTATAAAATAGTGGTGCTGGTAAAACTGTATCAGCTACTCATATTATGAGATACTTTGCCACTGCTGATGATAAAGATTCTGGCAAAGTAAAGGATGTAACACAGGGAATGACAGAGGTTGAAGAACAAATTATGGGTACAAAATAATTAAAAAAAAAAAAGAGAGCTAAGCCCTGATTAACACACTATGTTTAGCCACAAATCCCATTATGGAATCGTTTGGTAATGCCAAAACCACAAGAAATAACAACAGTTCAAGATTTGGTAAATATATCGAGGTATGTGGTATTGGAAAGAAAGGATAGAGCAATTTAAAAATAGTAATAATAAAAAAAAATTCGGCCAGATTCAATTTGATAACCGTCAAAATATTGTGGGTGCGAAAATCAGAACCTATCTCCTGGAAAGATCCAGATTGATCTTTCAGCCCGAAGCGGAGAGAAATTACCATATTTTCTATCAGCTTTGTTTAGGTGCTCCTATCAATGAACGTAAGAATCTCGAGTTGGGTGACTGGAGTAAATTTCACTACTTAAATCAAAGTGGGATCGGATCCATCCCTGGTGTTGATGATGTCGCTGAATTTGGAGACACACAGAAATCCCTTTCGCTCGTCGGTATTGCTGTTGAACAACAATGGCAAATCTTCAAGCTATTGGCAGCATTACTTCATATCGGTAATATTGAAATCGCCGGTCGTAACGACGCAACCTTATCCGAAGATCAACCTGCTTTGGTCACTGCCACTAAATTGCTCGGCATCAAAACTTCGGAATTTAGAAAATGGTTAGTGCGTAAACAGATGATTACAAGAAACGAAAAAATCGTTTCCAATTTAAATCCCGTTCAAGCAACTGTCGTCCGAGATTCCGTCGCCAAATACATCTATGCCAGTTTGTTTGATTGGCTGGTCAAGGTCGTTAATGACAGTTTATCCTGTCAGATTGAAGGTTTGGTCGAAACTTTTATCGGTGTTTTGGATATTTATGGTTTCGAGCATTTCAAGAAGAATTCCTTCGAACAGTTCTGTATTAATTATGCAAACGAAAAATTACAACAGCAGTTCAATCAGCATGTCTTCAAGTTAGAGCAAGAGGAGTATGTCAAGGAAAAGATCGACTGGAAGTTTATTGATTTCAGTGATAATCAGAAATGTATTGAAGTCATCGAATCAAAATTGGGTATCTTGTCTCTTTTGGATGAAGAATCCAGAATGCCTTCAGGTACAGATCAAGGCTTTTGTAATAAGCTTTTCTCCAATTTCTCTGATCCCAAATACAAGGATTATTTCAAAAAACCTCGTTTCTCAAACAGCGCGTTTGTCGTCGTGCATTACGCTCATGCTGTCGAATATGATTCCGAAGGTTTCATTGATAAAAATAAGGATACTGTTCCTGATGAGCTCTTGACCTTATTACAAAATGCCGATTCGCCATTCTTGGTCGATATGCTTGCTACAGCTACCGCTGCTGCTTCTGCCGCTAGTCAAGAATCAAAACCTGTAGCTCCTGTCAAAAAGATGGGTATGGGTGTGGCCAAGAAACCTACTTTGGGTTCCATTTTCAAGGTAGAATGTTTGGACATAATCATTTTTTTTCTCCTATAACTAATTTATTTCGTGACAGTTATCATTGATTAGTTTAATGGAGACCATTAGTAAAACCAATGTGCATTATATTCGTTGTATCAAGCCTAACGAAGGTAAGGTGCCTTGGGGATTTGAGCCCAACATGGTTCTGTCTCAATTACGTGCTTGTGGTGTGTTAGAAACCATTCATATCAGTTGTGCTGGTTATCCTTCCAGATGGACCTTTGAAGATTTTGCCGATAGATTTTATGCACTTGTGAACTCTCAATACTGGGATCCTAATCTTCGCCCCGACATCAACAAGTTGTGTCATGTTATTTTGGACAAGTACATCAAGGACTCTGACAAATATCAGATCGGTCTTACCAAGATCTTCTTCCGAGCAGGTCAGTTAGCCTATCTTGAAAAATGTCGTCGTGAGCGTTGGGATGAATGCACCATCTTGCTTCAAAAGAATATGCGACGTTTCATTGTTCGTATCGGCTATTTACGTAAACTCGACTTGATTTCGAAATTGCAAAGAGTGGCGCGACAAAAAATGGGTGTGCGTAAATTGGAAATGATTCGCGAGGATATCGCAGCCACCAAAATCCAAACCCAATGGCGTCGATACATTCAACGTAAACGCTACTTACAACAACGTCAGTTTATCATTCATTTACAAGCTGCTGTTCGTTCTCATTTGACCCGAAAGACTTTTGCCAACATTCGGGAACATTTTGCTGCCATCAAGATTCAGAGCTTGTTACGTGGCTGGGTCGTTCGCAAAGAGTATCAGGCCAAGCGAAATTACATGATTCAACTTCAGACCAGTATTCGTCGTCATTTAGCAAGAAAGGCCTTACTTGTACTTAAGCATGATGCTAAATCCGCCAACCATTTCAAGGAGGTTTCCTACAAATTGGAAAGTAAAGTGGTTGAACTCACTCAAAGCGTGACCCAATACCGAGACGAAAAAGATCAATTGCGTTTAAAGGCCAACGACCTTGAAACACAAGTAAAATCTTGGGCAGAGAGGTACGAAAAATTAGATTCTAAAGCCAAATCCCTTGAAAAGGATTTAGAGGGTCCCTCAGATTTAGAAGTTCAACTCGAGGCTTTACAGACTGAACGCAACGGCTTACAAACAGAATATAGAAATTCTCTGGAGCGTATCAAGAAGCAAGATTCCGAAATCGCTCGTCTCTCGGAGGATTTAGCAAGACAAAAGGAAGAAATCACCAAACTAAGACAATCCAACAATCAGCAACAGCTGATGAAGTCATCCCCCGTCAGTCCTGGTGGCGCTTTCTCTGTTGCGGGTGATGAACCCGATGTCGCTGAACTCAAGAGTCAAATTGTGGCTTTGAAGGCACAACTCTCTCAGTCTTTGAAGAATCATCCCAAACGTCAAGCCTCCATCAATGCATATCGTACTTTGTCTCCTCAACGTGGTGGTGGTGGACGTGGTATGTCTCCCGATAACTATAGCCGTGGTAGATCACCTAGTGCAGATCCTCGTGGTCGTTCCCCTAGCGTCTTGAATGGCAACAACGTGATGCGCCGTACTAGTATCGGTGACCGCAGAATGGAAAACAAGGTGCCTAGCAAGGTTGTTTATGCTGAACCAGATCAAATGATCCCTAAACAAATTGACCAGCGCGGTAGTTTGGAAGTAGAGAAGAAGACTAACCCAGAAGACGCCATCAATTTACTCTTACAAGATTCTGAATTATTAGAAGAAGAAATCATTGAAGGCTTAATTCATACCTTGAAGATTGTTCCTCCCGAGATGCAAAAACTTCCTGCGCGTGAAACTGTATTATTCCCTGTACATATTATTGGTAAATGTGTCACACAAATGTGGCGCCTTGGTTATTTGGTGGAGTCTGAGCGTTTATTGTTTAGAGCAATGGATACGATCCAAAAGGATTGTTTGGTAAAGTAGAAATAATTAGTTAAAAGGGAAGATGATAATTTGTGCTTACTTTTTTTTCTTTCTGTTTGTTTTTGTATTTAGTCATTCACTGGCGAAGATACCATTGTCCCTTGTTCTTACTGGTTATCCAACACACATGAATTGCTCTCACTCGTATACTCTGTTGAACAAGAGCTTGAACGTGAAATGCATTATAATTCGATCCATGGTTGCCGCGCCGTGGGTTGGCACGATTTTGAAAAGCTTGTGTCTACCATGAAATTCGAGCTTCAATGTCTTCAAGACAACATCTATCATCACTGGTTATCTGAATTGAAGAAGAAGTTGAACAAGATGGCTATTCCTGCTGTGATTGAAAACCAATCTTTACCTGGATTCATTGCCAGTGACTCGAACCGTTTCTTTGGTAAAATTTTGTCTGGTAACAATCAACCTGCTTTCTCGATGGATGAACTGTTGAACTTCTTGAACCGTATTTATCGTACCATGAAGAGTTATTATGTCGAACCCTATGTGATGGAACAAGTCTTGACCGAGCTGTTAAAGTTGATTGGTATCACTACATTCAATGACCTTGTAATGAGACGTAACTTCAATTCTTGGAAGAGAGGTAATTTGGTTTTTGCTACAAAATATATAAAAATACTAAATATTCATTTTGAACAGCTATGCAAATTCAGTACAATATCACACGTTTGGAAGAATGGTGTAAGGCCCACGACGTGTCTGAAGCTACCAACCAATTAGAACACTTGATGCAAGCTACCAAGTTGTTACAATTAAAGAAGGCTACATTGGAAGATATTAAGATCATTTACGATGTGTGTTGGTTCCTTGCACCTACTCAAGTTCAAAAGCTGATTCAAAACTACAGTGTCGCAGATTATGAAGATCCTATCAGTAACGAGATTTTGCGAGCCGTAGCATCACGTGTGAGTAGTGGCGATACAGGTGATATATTGTTGCTGGATAATGTGTCGATTGAAGATAGCGAATACGATCAACCTGAGCCCCATAATGTTGTAGCCAATTCTTATATCCCTGATTACGTAAGTCGAAGCCAATTGTCTATCCCCTATTTCTAACTTTTTATTTATTTATTTGATTAGTTGAACCTGCAAAACGTCCAAAACTTGATTGCATTAATCAATTTAGCAGAAAAGCAAAGACCTCAACGCATGGATTCCATGTAAAAAAAAAAAAGTTAGTTATTGAACAATGATGTGTTCTCTATTATTTTTATGTATATGTATTCCTATCACAACCCTTTTTATAATTTATCATTTGAAGTTTTTTTTTTCTATTTTTTTTTTTAATTTTTTTTGTGGGCGTATGATCTATGATGTATTAAAATAAATGCTATGCATTGGGAACCGTTTAGGGTCTACAAAGCAGCAAAGGTATGTCTATGCAGTCGCAGGCGTTTTTTCATTTCCGAAGATGAAACATCTTGAAACGGCAGGGAATTATCGAATTTTGACGTAAACCTGTTCTTATCCATCGTAAAAAAAAAAGACGGGGTACATCTTTTTTCTTCTTGTATATGTCCAGTTAATATTTTAACATCATATGAATATAGCGTACAATGTACACGTCTTGAAAATCCGCGCAGGTGTATTCGGAGGGTGTGTTCGAAATTTGAAGCGGCAATCTCATTTGGGGCGTTTCGAATCATGCAGTGTTTTCTAGAAATCGCCAAGAAGAAGAATCTTGGAAAAAGTCAACCCAAATTGCAAATTCGACGTGCTTTTTTAACAGATACGTTTTCAAGGAAAAATCTTATACTTCCAAACAAAGACGTAGTCTACAGCTTTCGAGAAGTATTCAAATCATCAAGATATTAGGCTCTTACTTGAGACGTTGACTGGTTGTAGATAGAATCATTCAGCTATACTATACTAATGGCGTTCTAATGATGCATAACCTCCCATTGTTACTGTGATAGAATCAGTAATATGTACTAGGTATCAAAATATCATTTAGGATGCATCTATCATCACCAAATAGTACTCATCTTGAATTATTCAGATCTTGTCGGAAATCGATAACTTTGCCTGGAATCGACAACCTTGCCCGAAATCGACAATAGCCTTGTCGCAAATCGACAGCAACCTTGTCGCAAATCGACAGCAACCTTAGTGGAAATCGACTTAGAACTTTTTTGTTACCCCTCTCAGAGGTAAACCTTTCCAATAATCGACAATCTTGTCTGCCAGGTTTTTTAATCATCAAGCTAATAACAATAATAATAATAAATACTGACCAAAAAGTCAGACTCTTTTGGGCTTGTATCGATACTGGAAAATCAAGAGGTCTATTAAATCTCATAAAGACTCTAACAGTTTAAAAGCTTCTTTTTTTAGAAATAAAAATGACCAATAAAATCTAAACTATTGTATTTACAAAGATTTTTGAATAAGTTGATCACTTTCTACGAATAGGTTGATCAAATCAATCAAGAAAGATCACAAACCTTTTGCATAAAGACTGTATATTTGGGTTGTCGCTAAAAAACAAATTCGCACACGTTTTTTGTATCTTCTTGCGACACGAGACAGGCGGAGTTATTTTAAAAATCCAAGGCCTAAAATATGGAGTGCGAAATTTAAAAAAATAAAAAAAAAACTTGTTTCTTTTTTAATTCATATACCCAAAAGAACGTAATGGACCCTCACGAAGAAAAACCCATTGCATCGCCTACACCCATCAAACCAAACCGCCACCGTGAAACTACTATTTATGCCAAATCCGGCGCCTTAGACACGCCACCTTTTTTAAACACACGCAAAGGATCGACCAGCTCTATTGGAAGCAGTTCGGGCAATGGCAACGGCGGTAGTGGTAGCGGACCCTCTTTTACACAACGTTTAATAGAACGTGGTGTGGCAGTGCCTAGTTCCTTCTCGAGCTGGGATAAAGTGCGCCCCTCTGAAGAGTCTTCCTCACCAGGTTCTTTTGATTTTGATTCGTACTACGGCATGTCACCCTTCATTACACCTTCGTTTTCAACAGCAGCCGAAGCCGCTTCTCATTTTCAACATGATGGTGCACTTTATAAGTCGCTTCGTCACCGGTACGAAAAGGAAAAGACAAATAGTGGAAGCAGTATTCGTTTATTAAGTGAAGATGAAGAAGATGGAGGCGTTGTGTCGTCACCCGAGTTTACTAAAAAGAGTCTTAGCGAGACGACACAAGACCAGAAGCAACGCAGAAAAGATCGAACAGAAGACAGTGATATTGAATTATCAGATGAAGAAGAGGAAGGAGGCAGTATTACACCTACTCAAAATAAACTTTTCCCTTTGACTCAAAGACCACGTCGATCCAGATCTCCGCTTTCATTTCAGCCTGCTACTGACGATGGTATTTTTGACATTTACAACCCCCAGAGCTATGAAGAACAGGAAGAGCCTGTAGTATTGTCAGAAACAGTCGAAAGGTTAAAGAAACTCTTGATCACAAAACCACCGACACAACAACCCAAACCTCTTCCCAGCCCACCACGTCAACATTTATTACAAACACCTGTATTTCAAGTGGTTAATGCTAATTCCGTCAAGGACCGTTATTTATTTCTATTCAACGATTTACTATTAATTTGTAAACCCATTATGGATGAAAATATCATTGTCAGTACGTCTACCAGAAACAGTTCAGAGAGGAATCGATATCGTTTTCGACCGAATGAAAATTCATTATTTCAAGTTAAGAATATTGTTCAATTGGGTCAATTGACACTTTATATCTCGAAAGAAGATTATTACACAACCACTTCACCTAATTCGGCCATCGAAATTGGGATGGATGGTCGACCTATTTTACCGCCTGCAAGAAAAATTCATCCCATCATGGCATCCGCTTTACGTAAATTCGAAACCAATGCTAATCTAGGCATTCAATACCTGGTAGATAAAGGCGTACTGACACATGATCCTTTATCCATTGCCAATTTCCTGTTCAAAACACCGGACCTCAATCGACGTCAATTAGGTTATTACCTCTCCGATCTCAAAAATGCCGACGTCTATGATGCATTTTTAGAGTGTTTCCGACTGGTTGGATTACGGTTGGATGAGGCACTTCGGATTTTATTGACAACTTTTCGGTTACCTAGTAATTGGGAATCTTTGGAATATTTGATCGAGCGATTTGCCAAAAAATGGCACGACGCCAATCAGAACGTGATTAAATTTCACGAAGATATGGTTGTCAAGGTGGTGGTTGCCATGCTCTTTTTAAACGCAGAATATTGGTACGACGCTACATCAGAAAGAGATGTGTTTTGGTATGCACGCGAACTAAAGGAGCGTCAAGATCGACAGGCTAAGCGAAAGATGAGTGTCATTGATTACCATCGCACTAACATCAGACCCATCAGTAAATTATCGTCATCTGCTACTACTGCCTCTAGTAACAGCAACAATAACAACAATCGACAGAGTGTGACAGTAGAACCGCTTCATTATATCATGGCATTACGAGAACGAGGTGATAAACAACCCACTCTAGAGGACTTTTTGGAGAGATGGAATTACTATGATCAGTACCATTTGGTGCCACGAGAATTCATGGAGGAAATGTACAAGTCCATCATGGAAGAAAAGTTCGAAACAGGATGGGATAATAAGACGGGTAAGAGAATACCGACCAACGAAGAAGAAAATGGCGTGTGTCGACCTAAAGTTGTATCACCCTCAGTGCAGCAAGGATCCCAAGACGTTGTCATTACAGTGATACCACATAGATTACCAACTCGTTTGACAAAGGGAACTCCATCCGAACCCATTGCCATTTCGATTCCCTCTCCCGATAAAGGACTACAAATCAAGTTACGAGGTCAAGATTTAGAGTTCAAACCAAATGTTTTGGATTTTTCAAATTCGTGTATTCAAACGTTTACAATCACTGGTAATACGCTAGGAAGAACATCCCTCATGTTTATCAAGACAGGTGAAAACGCCGGTAATTATGTGAGTCCAACCTTACCGAGAACCAAAAGCGTGGTAGTTGAAAGACCTTTTATGCGTTTCACATTCCAAATCGGCTTTAAACATTCAGAAAAAGACTCGATAAGGAAAAAGCAAGACAAAAAGAAGAAGAAATCCAACACAAAGGAAGAGGACGAGGAAGAAGAGGAAGAAGAAGAAGAAGCAGAGAAGAACCCAAATGTGGTGAATCGCAAATATACCTTTAGTGTGGAGACAGAAGAAGAAAGAATTCAATGGTTAGAAGCTTTAAAGAAATTGGGCGGCTATTTGAACGAGGAAGCCAATCAAGCAAATATAGATAAACTATATGCTTTATCATCTGAATCAAGAGTGGCGTTACAAGTTTTAAAAGAGGTCTTGTTGGCCGATGAAATTAAGAAAGGCACAGTCAGGTCTGCCGACGGAAATGTCAACACACCTTTGGATGAAAATCACCGACATGACCGCACCATACGTTTATTATTACCCAAAAAGAATAATGCCGAAGATATTGTGACAACCAGTACCACCGCCAATGTTGTAACTAAACGAGGACACGAAATTATTAAACTTGTTGTGCAGAACTCTATGGTTCCACTAGTTTTAGGCTTTCTTAAAAACCAAATACCATGATTTAAATAAAGTTTAATACCAACTTATTGTTTCCAGAGAGAGAAAGCTTACATACAAGCTAGTATTTTACATTTGTTAATAAAAAAAATCTCATAGTTAAGTTGTAATTTTTTTAAAGAGTTTAAATGCTTTAACCAGCCGAATCATATTGTATAAGATTTCAAACAAAACGCAATGAGTACTGTACTTTTACATAAAATTTATTAATTTTAATATCTGGGATTGACATGGTATGGTTTGTTTCCTCTGTTATTATTACGAGGGGAGGTTGGTCCAGAATGGGTCTCCACTTCAGGTGAAGCTGCGGCGAAATTGAGCCAGCTAGTATTGGCTTTGGGCACTTCGGGAGTTGCAGATGTTTGACTAGTTTTAATAACGGGAGACTGTCCAGCTTGACTGTTAGATACTGTCTTGTCTTGGATATTAGGTGATTGGACAGTTTGAGCATTCAATGTTTGACTAGCTTGACCATTGGATGTTTGACTAGCTTGACCATTAGATGTTTGACTAGCTTGACCATTGGATGTTTGACTAGCTTGACCATTGGATATTTGACTAGCTTGGCTGTTGGATACATGGCTTGCTTGACTGTTGGATACGTGGCTTGCTTGACTGTTAGATACATGACTAGCTTGACTGTTGGATATTTGACTAGCTTGGCTGTTGGATAATTGACTAGCTTGACTAACAGATTTAGTCAATTCTACTGCTTTCACGGATGATTGTGTCAAAAGTTCCTCCTCATCAGAGGTATCAGCATCAGCAAATCTATCCTCATAATAATGGTCACTGAATTCTTCATTGTCCTCTTCATCTTCATAGTCATCATCTTCATCACTATCCTCGTCTTCCTCCTCCTCAGTATGCTCTTCCTCCGCATTGCCATTTATTTGCTTTGTGGCTAATTCCTTTGCAGCTAATTCCTTTGCGGCCAACACCTTGGCATCTTTTTCCTTTTTAGCCTGTCTGTTTGCAGCGTCCTCTGCTGTGGCAGCTTTTCTTTTTTCTTCCAAAAGATCAGCTTGCTTTTTTAACTCGTTCGCAGCGCTGGGGAAGGTATTGTGGGCTGAAGAAAAAGCGGGTAACATGGATTCGGGGAAGGGTAAAGTGGGGACTGCGCCGGGCACAGCAAAAGTTTTGTTGTCCAACATACTGACATTAGGCATAACGACCCAAATGGGAGGAATGGTGGTGGTATTTGATTGTTGTTCACGATCTGATGCTTGGAAGATCAAACTCTGGATGACGTCCACAATTTGTTTGAATGTTGTCTTGAAACCTTCTGCTACGGGTTCGTCTTTTTCCTCCACCAGATCTCTCATCAATCTGTAGGCAACTCTTTTAAAGTCGTTCTTGTCAGATTTATGCTGGTATTTTTCGGCATAGACAGACGCACCGACCATTTTATCACATAGATAAATTACAGCTTCGGGTTCTAAATCAGGATAGGCGCCTGAAATCATGTAGAGAAATCCTTGTTGAGCTAATCGGACAAGGTAAAAGAAGTGGAGCATAACAAGATTTTCTCTGTACAGGCGATTATCAACTGAGCGGGGGGTATCGGTCTATACAAGAAAAGTTTAATACAAAATTAAGACTGTTTTAGTTTTATGAAGAAGAACTTACGGTCTTGTTGGTGTCGAAATAGATGGCTTCCAGCTTTTCCAACAGTTTGGTGTTAAAAGATCTCTCAGAAATTAACTCGAGCTCTTCTTCTGTAGGTTTGTAATTACACACGTTAATTTGTGCCTCCAGAGTATACGCAGCACGCTATAAAATATAAAACATGAGTGAAACACGCTCTTCATTTTCAAATAATAATAATAATAAAAAAAAATCTTTACCACTTTTGTTCGAATGGCATCAATCTCTTGACGCATAGTTTTTCTCATTTCTTGGGCTTTCTGCCTATACCGCTTCTTTCGGTGTCGATTTTTGGTCGTATCGTTCATGGCGTGTTATAAAGAAGGAATGAAGAGAAAACTGTCAATGTCGCTTTGTCTCTTTTTCACACTCTTTCCTCAAATACGAGTCACGGTTGTGGCGTCACCCCCATCTTAAATTAAAGTCGGGATTACAAAAGAAAAAAAAAAGAAAAAAAAAAAGAACTCTAATCAAATTTGATTAAACAAACATAACACACACAAACTTGTAAAAAGTACAAAAAAGAAAAAAAACCCAATTTTTGGATAGATATCTGTTATGGTAGGTCATACAAATGACACGGTTTGAAGGGGTTTTACTAATAAAGCTTTATTTAGTATCAACAGATCTATAATTACGGGCATTCGCCACAACAACAACAACAACAGCAGCAGCAGCAACAACAACAACAACAACAACAACAACAGCAGCAGCAACAACAGCAACAACATCATCAAGAAGAGAATGACACTAATCGAGAAATAAAACCCGATACCATGTTTTATAATCAAAGTAATAACCAACAACAATATCAATCTTCGTTATCGAGCCCTTATACTATACGATACTCTTCCTTCGATCCAAACAGTTTTGAACACCATCCCTCGCACCAGAATTTACATTACAATCAAGCGCAAGCGCATAATGAAGAACATGCTGGCATGCATTCCTTCAATGGATTCCAGTCCGTAAGTAGTTTTTTTTAAAAAAAAAGCAACTGAAGGAAATAAAAGCTAAACAACAATGTGTGTTTGTGTTTATCCCAGGATATTGTGGCTAGTTTAACCAATTCACCCGTGGGGTATAACCCTGTCGACATACACCATACCTCGAATACAAACACATCGACGATCACAGCTACTGTATTACCTCCGTTAAATACAACACCTATTATGATGGCCCCTTTACAGCACCATCAAACGACATCCCATCAAACGTACTTACTTGCACAAAAGAAACCATTGAAAGGCTCTCCCCGGCCCTCACGTGAAAGAGCTCCATGGACACCCGAAGAAGACCAGCTGTTGAAATTAGCGGTTCAGCTCTACGGCGATAAAACCGAGAAATGGGCCAAGATTGCAGCTTGTGTGCCTGGTCGCACCAACAAGAACTGTAGAAAAAGATGGTTTCATTCCTTGGATCCCTCACTTCGAAAGGGCGCTTGGACGGAAGAGGAGGATCAACTTTTGCGAGAAGGTGTGAGTAAGTACCCTAATCAATGGAGTAAAATTGCAGACATGTTACCTGGTAGAACCGATGATCAGTGTGCAAAACGATGGAGAGAGAGTTTGGATCCCAGTATTGATCGATCCGAGTGGACACAGATGGAAGATGCCTTATTGATGGAGAAATACGAGGAATATGGCTCTCAGTGGCAAAAAATCGCCTTCTTTTTCGACGGTAGACCCGGCTTACATTGTAGAAATCGATGGAGAAAATTACAGCGTATGGTACAGATTAAGAAGGATAAAGAAGGTGCAAATTTAAACGCTCCGTTTTTCAATACATGTGCTCAGGATCAAACCATTCGATTTCAGCAACATGAAGATGACACAAATACTACTAATAACACTAATACCAATAATAATGTACATAATGACACTAATAATAATAACAACAATAATATCCCAAATAATTCACCAAATTCATTCCATCATCTAACTACGCTGCTCTCTCAACAACAGCAACAGCAACAGCAACAGCAACAGCAGCAGCATCAGCAACAACAACAACAACAACAACAACAGCAACAACAACAGCAACATCAGCAACAACAACAACAACAACAACAACAACAACAACAACAACAACAACAGCAGCAGCAGCAGCAGCAACAACAACAGCAACAGCAAAATCAACAGCATCATCAGCAGCATCATCAGCAGCATGATCCTTCCGTATTAGTTCAATTTTCAAATCCACCACCATCAAGTACAACCGAAGAATTTGATGAATACGGAACAGGTGTAAAGCCCTTTGGTTGCGATGTACCTGGATGTTATGCTGTATTTGCGGCTTCTACAGGCTTATTTTATCACATGAAAAATATCCACCCTCACTTAGAAGGAGTCGAAAAGCCTTATCGATGTGCGATGACTAATTGTTCGAAAAAGTATAAAAATATCAATGGACTTCAATATCATATCAAGGACGCTAAAGGAACAACAGGTCATGGTGGCGGCACGGGTATGGCGGGAGATGATGATAGACCTTACCGTTGTACGATTGCTAGTTGTAAAAAAGCCTATAGAACAGCCAGCGGATTCCGTTACCATCAGCAAAATGGTCACAATGTGCAACCCCAATTACCGCAACCACATTTATTATCACAACAACCTCATCTTCAACAACAACAACAGCAACAACAGCAGTTTCGTATGAAGAGAGAGAAATGGGTGATGGAAGGCGTGTAAATAAAAATACCTTCTACCCTCTTACACCTTATGTATAAAGTTGCATTGCCATTTATTGTTTGTATAACATGAAATAAAATAAAATAAAAAAAGTATAAAGCCTACAATAGTTGAACTATTCCGTCATCTTACGCTTTTTGTTCTGTGACAGATCCTCAGGAGGAGGAGACGTCAGCTTACCCTTTTTGACAGGCTTAGGGTTGACAGTGAACATGGGAGTTCTTACGTAATCCTTCAAGACGGTCTTCCATAATTGTAATCCGGTATCGTAAATATTGTGTTCAACACGCACTTCTCTATCAAAGATCAAGGCATTTCTATCTCGGACATCGCTGGTAATATACAGAGGCCATTCGGGGATACCATCGTGATTAGGATCACCAGTTCTTCCAAAGTTAATAATGGCTAATGAGACTTGTTTAGCAATACGATCTCTTTCATAGTCATCACCAGGACCCAAGAATGGATTATCGGTCCAATAGATCAAATTGTCCCAAGAAAAGACAGAATCCACCATATGGGCAGCCTTAATCACATTTTGTACATCATTGGATTCATAATCCCATTCATATAAATACACCTTGTGTCCGTTGCTTGCTAAATTCTCAGCACTTAAGAGAGCAGCAATTCTACACATCACATCAGAACACATGTAACGAGTCACTTCAGAAGGAGGTGATTGAGGAGGCACAATTTCTTCCTTGTACAATTCGTAAGCTCTACGAGCATTTTTAGCACCAAAGATATGA